GTCCGCCATATAAATCATTTCCGAAATATAACCCGTTCCGTAATTTTTTTAACCCGTCCCGTGATTTGTTTTTATTTTAAAATTTAATGATTATTTATTATATATAAAAGTTTACAAATCATATCATTCTCTAAGACGTTTATATTATAATAAACTAAAGATTTAATATGTATTAAAATGGCATGTTAATGATATTTTTAAATTTTATAAATATTGTTATTAAGGTGGTGTTATTCAATGATGAATTTTAATAGAATTGAAATCCAACACTAATCCAGTGTTATTCAACTAATGATTATAAATCTAACGTTAAAATCTGGTGTTATTAGATCTTATATTTCATTAGATTTTAAAAGTTTGATGTTATTCAATGGTGGAGTTAAAGTCAATTCTTTAAGGTTTGTAAAATCCAGTGTTATTCAAAACTAAAAGACTTGTAAAATCTTTGTATATTAAGTCATTTGAAATGAAACCTCTTTGGAGTTTCATGAGTAAATTATTAGAATCAAAATCCAAGATATACTGCAGAAATTTTGAAATCCATACAAACAGATTCTTAAAACCAATATCAGAAAGCAAATCTAAACTTTAAAGAATTGACTTTAACTCCACCATTGAATAACACCCCCTAAGTAACATTATACCACGGGATAATTTTTGGTTTTATACAATCTTTTCTAAATGAGACTGATTTAATATGTCTAATATTTGTGGTATTAAAAAAAAGGATTTAATCCGTATTGAAGCGGCGGATTAATGATATTTTAATCTTTTTATTATTGTTGATTCAAAAACCCGTCCCGCCAAACCCGTCCCGCCAAAAAACTCATTTATTTTATTAATGTTTTTATTTATGATATGATTTTGAATCATTTTTTAAATATTTTAATCGATGTAGAACGTTGAACACACATTTTCGTCAATTGGATAATATATGTCCGTTTTTAAAATTTCGAATCACAGTATATGCAGAAAAAAAAGTTGATTTTTTTTTTACTTTATGTATTATATGATGATTCAAAACAGTTAAAAACAAATCAAACAAAGATGATAGGAGAATCATAATTATAAATCTTAATCAAATCTTCTAAATATTTAAATTATTATATATGGAATATCCGGTGTATGAGTTGAGTTAAATATAACCCGACCCAACAAATTTTTTGTGAAGGAATTTTAAAAACGGGTCGGGTATCCGATATACCCGGAAGCATTTTTACCCACCCGTCACCAAAGTGTTGCAAAAATACTAGTATAGATAGAGTAAATGATAGGATTGCTCTATATATAAAGCAATTCTTTGTTTTTTTATACTAACTCTATTTTAGAGTAAGATATTGAGTGATACATTGGAGAGAAACCATGTAATATTTTAGAATAAAAAATTAAATAGAGATTTATATTGGATATGATCTTATCTTATATGGCTAGGGTAAGGTTCTAGGAAAACGTGTGGCTCGGCTGCTCCCATTAATTAGCATAACTCCTACTTTCCCGTCTAGCCGGCAAATGTGCCCCTGTTTTTTTGGGATTTGGGTTGCCAAGTAAGGAAACGTAGTTTCACTCCCCAACATTAGTCTTGGGCGTTCGGGTATTCGGATCAATTCAGTTCTTTTGGTTTTAGAGTTTATAATTCATTCGGTATTTTAAATCTTTTTTGATTCAGTTCTTTTCGTTTTAAAGTTTATTATCCATTCAGGTATTTTGTTTCGAATACTTTTCGGTTATTATTTCTGGATATTTTTGGTATTTTTATATATTTCCGGTATTTTTGAATTCTTCAATCTAATAATAACTAATATTTTTGGATCTATAATTATATTTCGGATCCCGAAATATTTCGGTTCAGTGTCGGTTCGGTTATAGAATTTAGGATCTATTCATATATTTTCAAATATCGGTTCGGTTTTTTTTTTCTTTGGTTATGGTTCGGTACTTTCAGTTTAGTTAATTTGCCCAGCCCTAACAGACATTGTCATGACTCATGCATGTCTCATATGACTATAATTCTTGGGGTTAGCTGAAGTACATTGTTTTAATATAGAACTTCCATAATCTACGATACGTGTCAAATATATCGATTAAATCTTAATAATTAATTTTGGATAATGAAGTTTTATACAAAAAGATTTTTAAATAATTTTTAAAATGGATTTTTATTTTATAAATATCTAGATTTCTAATACTAATATCTAACTATCTATTTTATAGAATTCTTTAGAAAGTTATAACTTTTAGCATAATTTTGGGGTTGGTCCGATAAAAATTAATTTTATCATTGAGCGAAACTTAAGTTTATGCTAAACTCAAATTAAGTCCAAGAGTTTTTCATTGGCAAATTAAAACAGATTTTCTTTTATTAGGGAAACCATAACAAAGGAGCTTAGAATCAATGATTCTTACAAACACAAGACAAGAGAATTGAGAAAAGTGGGAGATAGGCTCCTAAACATTAAGAAGAACAAGTCTCCTCTTATTAACACAAAAGCAATTCAAAGATATAACCCAAAGATCTGGTTAATTATTATGGTCCGGTTCAAAACTTTCCGGTCCAGCTGATTGTAACACATCAGCAGAAACCTAACTTGGAAAGTATTTTGTGTTAGAGAAATCTTCAAATTCAACTTCCATCTTCAACGTATCATTCACGAGAAGACCCCTAGAAGTGTCCGTAAGATTAGCAAACGACACAAACTTCTCGAAACCCCAACTGTTTTCTTGATCCGACCAGCTTTCAACTATCAATAAGATTATGACAAAACAACATTAATAGAGTAAGTAACATTAGTCACCTCACAATATTATGTTTCCGATATAACTTACCTTTTTTCTCCACATGCATGATTAGTGTCTCTCTGGTTTAGGATTCGTAGCTTAGCTTTTAGGTAAATCTCTTCGTACGGCTTAATATCAGCCGCAACGATGTATAGCGACAATGAGTTTCCTTGTGCTTCTCGGTCACCACTTGGATACACTTTCAAAGTCCTAATTAAGAGTTGCATATAGATAACTCGTAAATGGTCAATATTTACTAAAAAATCTTAAAACTTATGATGAACTTACCAACTTCTTCCTCCGATCACGAACACTTCCGATACATAGAACTGTTTTGTAAGTGATGAAAAGTTAAGGAGCGTCCATGTGTAAACGCGGTTATGCAAACTCTCAGTGAAGGAGAACACTTCCCAGTTGTTAAAAGTTTCAGTAACAAAAATGTCCACACCGAACAAATTAGTGTCACCGTCGAAATTATAACCAGCATTGGGATCAGGATTGGAGATTTCATCGTAGGATTTGGTTCGAGGTTGTCCAAAATACGGTTTGAACAGAAAAAAACGCCTTGGATCCGTCTCTGTGGACAAAAATAAGTGTACGTTGTAAACACAAATTTTGGCGTTTGAAGTTATGTAACAACAATCAACGTTTCCATTTTTTTTTTATTTTCAACAAAATTCTTACATGTACGTTTGAATCATATTCAAAAATCATATTTAGAACTTGTAAAATGTCTATTTGTTTTTTTCTTCTACAATTTAGAGTGAAATTTTGATTGATATACACTAGAGATTATATTATAAGCAAAGAAAATGTTAAATGAGAAAAAAAAAATAGAGACGTAGATATGGATGTACCTTGATATGTCAAATACTTGTCTTCTTTCCGGTTATAAATGAAGAATTTGACTTCTGCGTAAACTTCTTTTGGAGAGTTAAGGAGTGTTGAATTGTCTATTTGGACGTATAGTGAAACCTGTCCTTCACCTCCATCCTTTTTATTTCCTTTTGGATAGACAATAAGTGTCCTGTTTCCAAGTGAAAATGGTCATAACTTGTGATGCAAGGAAAATGCACAAAACTGTAGGAATAGAAAACAATAATTACCAATTATATCCACCGGAGGAAAATGGACGGGATTCATACTTCTCGATGTTTGGAGAATTGGCAAGTTTTCTGAAAGATTCGATTTTGAGACAGTAAGTAGACGGTGGACGAATGCTCCAATACTCTCTCCTGTCAGAGAGCTTATCGGAGGAGATAGGGCTATCGATAACAGAAATAGATGATGTTGTTGTTGAAGGTTGTGTTGTTACAAGTTTCATAAATTGGAATGCAAAAAAGAAACAAAAGAAGCAAACCAAGCAAATTGCTCCATAGTTTGTCTTTCTCTTCTCCTCTTGAAACATGTTTTCTTCTTTTTTTATCAACCCCTTTTCAAACATGGTTGGTTAAGTAAATATGGTATAAGTTTGACGGTTTAATTTATAGACTAAACATTGTAATGAGTAATTATTGGAGTTTCTTTTTTCCCTAATGGGAGAAATTAATGGAGTTAGTTGTATATAATTTATTTTTTTACACCCAAAAAAAAGATGAGTCATAATATAAAACTACCATTAAGACAAAAACAGTAAGTGGGTGTATGGATGAGTATAGATAAAACAAATAAAATTATAAATAATGTGTAATTGAATATTAGAAAGGCAACACATAATGTATTACTGGAAAATAATGTATTGGCTAATCAGAAAGAAACAAATGTATGCGTATATTAGAAAGAAAAAAAAAAAGATAGAAATTTAGGATAAAGAGATATATATTAATTTTATTTAGCAAAGTTGTAACTAATTCATCACTATCTATTTCATACCACATTACCACAATCAATAATTTTTAAAATAAAAGAGTCATGGAAATTTTATATGTTTATATGTCTTGAGATTCACGTGGATACGTGTCTTGTCTAGTTTAAGATTTCACCAGATACGAATTTTAGATTGGTCTTCTTTTTTGGAAAACGTTTTCTGGATGACGACGGTATATACTTAAAAATAGAAAAATATAGTTAAAATTTTATACGTGTCTTCAACTAAAAATGAACTGTCGACGTTGTACCTAATTTACCATGACGACGAATTAACGAGAAGCACCCAATGAGGCAATGACCATAAAAGGACCCATCTAAAATTACATTATATTTTTAGGAGTCGTGTAGAATTAATGTTTTGTGATTTTAGCGAATTAATCACAAAACATTCGGTAAGTACATCACAACTCCGCAGTTAAATGTACTGAACGAGAGTAGTACTAGAATGGGTGACCTTCCGAAAAGTCTTCGTGTTGCATCCCTTTTTATTCAATTCTCAGAATGCTCCTATTATCGATTTTTATTTTTAAATTCAAAAAAAAAAACAAGATCGGTGTAAATTATTTATATTACAGTTGTAATTGAGTGCTTTGTAGAATTCGATACTTAAATATTACAGTGATCTTTTAATTTGCAAAAATAGTTCAAGGTAAATTTGAGCATATCATTTCACAAAATCAAAAAATCAATTTATCGAACACTTGATTTACGTTTAGAAATATGAGATCAACTATTTAAAAAAACAAAGGAACAACTAATTGAGAATTGATAACCTAGGCATGTCCTTGGGTTGGTCACGAGTAAAACATTTACTCTCCTTTAATTATGGATGTTTTTTTCTCGTACAAAGTCCTAGCTTCGTACTCCTCAAAGCGGTAACAACTTTTTCCCTAAGATACCTCTCCCGATAAACTTATTTTGTGCCAGCAACTTTTCTGTTTCCAATTCTCTGTTTAAACAAAGCAACTTGGAGACCTTCCTTTTAATAACACATTTTTTTACGGTTCAACTCAAAAATATACTTAGACAACTAAATTAACTCATTCTTTATAATAAACTCATTATCTTTCTGTTTAAGTAACTAGGAATTAGTCTGGTCTACGCCCGATAAATATATATTTAACGATTAAAATTTTAAGCTAATTAAACTGGTTTTAATATCATCTCTCTCTTTCATGCCTTTGCTCGAACTTGGAACACATTAAGCGTTGCACTATAATGTGCCTTCGATGACAAGGAGAGCTACAAGAGCCTGGCTTAGTTGGTTTTATTTTATTTTCTTAGTTTCCTAACTATACATGCAAGAAATTAATGTGATGTTCTATTTATCTTTTTAAATAAAATTGTATTGTACTTTTAATTGTTTGAACTTATCTATTAATATTTTCTTTCATTGTAATTTATTTAAATATAAATATAGTCTATATAGTATTTTCACATATATATATATATATATATATATATATATATATCTCATAATTTATTTTCCAATCGTATTTTTTTATATATATTTTTTTATTTATATATTGTGTATATGGGAGTTTCTGATACGGAAGAGAAAGAAGTGACGCAAATTCCGCTGCTGATAAATAAAACCAATCATTAACCATTAGAAGAGTAAGTGGTAGAGTTCTGCAAATGTAAAGCACAACACTATGTTCTAAAGATACGATGGAGATCATGAGTTTTCCAAACCCACATACAGATAAAGACAATTCCGACCAAACGATGAAACAATACACAATTTAACAACGAAGGTGAAGTTGGCTGGCTCCATTCCAAATATTGTGGCGTCGAGGTAGAATCTCTAGAGGTGTCTTGACTCAGTAATTTAACAACAAAGGTGAAGTTGGCTCCATTCCAAACGATGAAACCACTTACGTTTTTCAACTGTACACCTCTTTAACTTCGCTTGGAGTTATTTTCTGCTTGACAATAAGCTACACTTTGTTGTTTACAGAGCTATATACCTGAAAAAGTAATGTTTGAATTCACAAACTGAGAACATACTAAGAGCATCTCCAACAGTAGTATATTGGAAATTATTTAGAAATTAAATAAATAAAAAATAATTAAAAAAGTAGGAAAGAGATTCAGAGACGTTTCTGGTTTGAGAAACTTTTAGAAACGATCTCTCCACTTGTCTTTATATTATAGGCCAAATTCTCTCTTTATAATTTAAAATTTAAATAAATAATTAATTTATTATAAAATAATTAAAATAATACTTTTGAGAAATCCACACAGTATCAGAGCGATGGAGATGGTCTAAGTGAATTCTACTAGTTAGATTGTCACGTGCCTTGTCATAATCCAAAGTAATATTTGCGTTGGATTCATAAAACGGCGGAAGAAGAAATCTTTGAAAACTCTCATAAGTTTTCATAGTTAAGATTTCAGCAGTTAATTACCATACCTTAAGATTCGCTCGAATCTATTACCAAACACTATGTTTGTCTTTTGAATAAAGAACTGCATCAAGCACAAAGATAAATTCATTTAAAGAAGAATAAGCAAAGTGGCAACAATATAAGAGCGGGATAGTGTTGACCTCTCTTATTCTCTGTTTTCCATCTTATAGTGTTGACCTCTTCAAAGAACAAAAAAAGAAGTGTAAATTAGAAGTCATACACTTTCTTAAATTCTTCAGTTTTAATAGAACACTAAATCCATGGAAGGAAACACAAAGCCTTTAATTAATTGAGACAACCATGTAAAGTTGTAACCTTGTGAGTAAAATAAAATTACAAACCAAAAAACTATATGGTGGTGGGAGAGTGGTTCTCATTTGGTTGGAAGGATCGCCCTGTTGGTCTAGGCCAGGGATCGATCCTCCCCAGACGCAGTTTCGCTCTCTCACTCCTGTGGCCACCTGGGAATTTACCTGCGGACTTGCTCAGGCGCCCCAGACCACCAGTTTATCAGGGGGCCCTTAAGTGGAGGCTTAAAAATTCCTGTGACGCGGGCTTAGGCCCAGTGGGCTAGTCAGATCACTGTGTGGTCTGGATACTGGGTTATCAAAAAAAAAAAAACCAAAAAACTATATGGTCTCTTGAAGTGTAAGATTAAAGAGAGAAGACATGTACCTTCAGTGAAAAGAATAAGAGAGGTGATTCGTCTCTTGAAATTGCAGGAGTCATGGTCTCCATCAATTTGGATTTATCTCAGACCAAAACATTGAAGAGTAGTTTGTCCTCCTGCTTTTGTCACTTGGTATTAAGAATTATGTATGAAGTTGAATATCGGGAGACATGTTTACTGGATTCAAAGACAATCTAAGCCACCATGAGGTTTCCAGGCAACTCCCAGAAGCGACCACGTTACTTTTGGAAATAGTAACGTGTCTTCTAATGTGTATCTTTGTTGTATGCAGTTGTGGGCCTAATGGGCTGCATTTTGTTGTACCGTTTATTTTCCCTTTTGAGTTTTTCTTTTTCCGGCTCCCGTTTGAGCTTATAATGAAAATATTTGCCGACCAAAAAAAAAAAAAACTTGGATCCTTTGATTGGTCTTGTTTTCCATCGAGAGAGAGAGGTCAAAACAATAAAACTCTTTAGCTTTCTTATTACATAAGTAAGCAATGTTCTTGTTTTTTATATAGAGAAAGATTTATGTTTCTGCTTGTGAGTGATTGCTTGGTAGAGAATCTAGCAGGCTCACATGCTTTATCAGAAAGAAGTTATTGTATCAAGAATCAAAGCTGAATCTGTTTTACCAAATCATTAGTATTCAGATAGAAGTTGATTGGATAATTCATTGGGAAATCTGTGCTATGTTGTTTAACGATTCACGGTGGTAAAAACTCGTATATGCTTGTGTATTTTTCACCTCTGTAGCGAAAATTTTATCGGTTTTTGCTCATCAGAAAGAGGTGCCATTATAGACCTCAACACATCTTGTTATACTAAAACATACCAATAATAATTGTATGATCTTCTTTTTGCAAACAATGGAAAATACATGAGAACTTAAAAGAAAGATTTGGTTGATGCAAACTGTTGTTACAAGAGAAGACACTAAAAAGATCTAACTGATGGTGGAGATCTTGATGAAACAGAGCTTCCTCTTCCACAGCCTTTCTCATTTCTCAAACTTAAAGCTTCCATAAACCTCTCGTTCCACCTCGAGCTTGTTCCCGCAGTAGTTATAGTCTTCTTGTTACAAACATGATCTGTCGGAAACCGGTGTTTTAAACAGAACTTGACTCCACAATCTTTGCAAGTAAGATTATTCGCAAAAGTGAGAACCTCTCTGCAACGTTTTACAGGACATATTGGTTTCTTTTTCTTGTTCGGGTCACAATTTCCGGATCTTTCGTGTTTCTCAAGCAAAGATTTGATTCCTTCTTCATCAAAACCAGTTGTTTCGATCGCTAAAGAACATGTTTCACAGATGGAAACTGTTCTGCTTCCTTGATCGGATTTCGGACAATTATGAGACTTGTATGATCTATGCTCCAAACAAAACACCTTCACACACAAGATTCTTAAATCAAGAAACATTCAATTGTAGAAAAAGATTGAAACTCTCTGAGAAAAAATGCTTACCAATTTGCAGCCGTCACAAGTAAAAGGGAGAAAATCGAGTAATTTGCAATCAGGGTTTTGGCAATGCTCTCCAAGATCAGGAAACGCTTCTGTTCCTCCTCCTCCTGCCATAGCTTTTCTTCTACTTGTTCGTATGTTCTTGTTTTTGTTCTTCTTCAATATGTCTTGTGTTCTTAATTAAGTGTATATATAGAGGCTGGGGCTGACTTAGAGACGAAGCCAGCGTCCAAGTTGGATTTTTCTTTTGGTTGTCAATTTTAAGTTTTCTTTATTTGGAGTGGAAAAAATAATTTTTTATAGACGAACGCGGTTTTAGATGTTTCTAGGCCCATTTTGGGCTATATTTACTTTAGCCCATTTCAAAAAAAAAAACAATTTAACTTATCTTAACTAAAAAAACAAGGTAATCATAATTATTAGGCCTGGGCAAACGGTTTTTTCGGTTCGGTTTATTCGGTTTTTCGGGTTATTCGGTTATCAAATATTCTGCCGAATTGAACCGAATAAAAGTTCGGTTCGGTTCGGTTCGGTTCTCGTTTTTTTCGGTTCGGTTATGGAAACTAAAATCAATTCCGAAGTAAACCGAATTTTTTTCTAATTCGGTTTATTCGAACCGAATTACACAAAATCAAGGATATTGGGCTCAGAAAATTACAATAAATCAATTAAATCCAATAAGAAGCCCAATTTAGCAAAATTTACAAAGCCCAATTTAGCAAAATTTATAAAGCCCAATTCAGCAAAATTTACAAATCCCAGACCGCCAACCCATTAACTTTATTACTCAGAAGTCAGAACGTTCTTGTGTCTGGGCTGAGATGAAGAAGGACAAACTAGGGTTGGGCTTGGTTTTTTTTTGACAATAATTGTTCTAGGGTTGGGCTTGATTGTGTGACTATTTTAAGAATAATTGGACTTGTAACTGGTCCATGTTT